CTAATTGAAAACAATCAATATTCCTCGAACATTTCGTTACGGTACGGAAAGTTCCAGCAATTTGTCTTAAGGCACGAAGTCATACACAACTAGTTGTTATTCATTTTGAAGGGATTCTACGTTTTTTTTTAAATTTTTGAACAGCAATCAGAACCCATTAGTTCTTTAAGCTGTTGTGCTGATTTGAATAACTATTTATTTTTTTTAACTTAGTTGACTATTGCTGTTAACATCTCTGCCAGAACAGAGGTTTATTTGCACCTATTTCCCCACCCACATGTGAAATGTTAAAGACAGTTTCTTTATATAAAAAACTATTGAACCTAACTAAAAAATAACAATTACATTTTATAAAACATTTAATTAACGTAGACTTAAGAATTATATTAAGATTTCGTAAACTAAACAACAATGCTCACAACTAAAAAAACTAGCCACAAACAAAAATACTTTTTTTGTGGATCTTCACATATTCCTGATCTCCAGTTATAAATATTTTGCCCTCTACTTTCAAATATTGTTGTTAAAACTTCTCAACTTTACTGGTTTCTGAACTTCAATCTACTCGCTACCACAGATAATAAGTTATATTGATAATAATATATATTAAAAATATATTGTTATCAAGAACATTTATAGATTTAAAAACTTTGTTTATGCTATTGGAATCGCTCCATATGAATCGATGCTATCGTGCGTGTACACACTTTACTATTATATTTATAGCACAAATCTTTTATCAAAAATTATTAATTATATGAATCGTTTATTATGTTTTTATTTCCCCATTTCTGTGTCATGTAGTAACACTCTGTTTTGTTAAAACGTTAAAACTGAAACAAAACGAACGGCGTTTTCGTGACACAGAGCGCTTCTCTTCTTTGAATTATGGTCGTGCTCCTGGTAGGCACGAAATGAGCAGCTCATAAACCATCAGGTCGCATAAACCATCGCTACTATTTCATTCTATTTTGTGTATTTCGTATTTCATGTCCTTATAACACCACCCAGAGCGAGATTCTTAACGTTAAAGCTGTTTTCACATAAAACAACCTATAATAATAATAATAGTAGTAATGGGTGCTCCGCCAGAAAACAGGTGGGTGAGCTGAGTTCTACTTCAACCAGAATAAAAGAAGTGTAATAAAAATGTTTTGAATCCGATTTTTAATTATATTTTTGAATAACATAATATTGGAATAGAATTCTATAAAATACTAAATTAAACGCTACAAAATATAGACATTTCAAAAACGTGCATCAAATCCATATTGTAACACAAATTGCAGGCACTTTCCGCATAGTAATAAAACATTTGCAAAATATAAATAATTAATAATGAAAAAAATATCAATAAGTAATAGCAATTTTTTTTAAATATTTTAAAATAAATATTATAAATACTGTAAATTTCTTCCTCGTATATTATAAATCTAATGTAATATGAATTCTCATATTTTGAACGATGGCCTATGTTAATCTACAAGAATGGATGTAATAAAAAATACCGCCAACACAAGCAGTACGCTCTTTGAGTTACTCTAATCGGAGAACGACGTCTCTCAAAAACTGCAGTTTTTTGCACTTTTTAATCTGTATATCCGAAACTTCTAGACCTGCATTCGCAAAAATGTAATCGTTTATTCACCCAATCGACTCGAATTGAATGTTTGTTGAATCATTGTAATCGGATGAGCTTCTCTTTCAGAAGCTGTTTTTTTTTCACCTTTTGCTCGGTATCTCAAAAGCGGCTAGACCTGCTTTTTCCAAAATCTAAACAGAATGGGAATCGAATATTGTTTGAATCGTTTAAATCGGTTGGTCCGTGCTCCCGATATCGTAAACAAAAAATTGTATCCAAACATACACACATGCACACACATACATCAACTTATTTCTATAATATGTCAAGTTGTTCAGAAATCTTTCATACGTGAAGATATGCAAAAATTTAATTTTAGATTTTTTTCGATTTCTATAACTTATTCCCGGGAAATTTAAACTGTGTTTCACAAGGTTCTTTCTAGAAATACATCAGAAATTCATAATAACTTGAAAAAATATTTCACCATATTTTTTTTATTGTTTATTTGTTGACTTTGTATACATGTACATTAGTCATCATACATTTTATAATTAATTTTTACACTTTTATTTTATTTGCTTGTATATAATGGTATAGTGCAAAATACATCCTTTTCTTTGTCAATAATATTATAAATTGATTGGGAGGGAGATTTTTTTCCCTCACAATCTCCCTCTATAGTTCTTCTTATATATCATTATATCATTTGAAAGTAGCTACTAGTCTTTGTGAACTGTAAAATGACAATTTTTTGAAATATTTTTTTTTAATTCCTTACAATGAGTTTGATTTATATTAATTTGATTGCAGATAGTAGTTACCCCAGTAAGTAATTATTATTAGATTCAATTTAATTCTGTATCAAGTTAATCGGCCATAATTATTTGAGGCTTTTATATTATTGTATAACGGCAACGGAGAATTGGGGTGATTTTCTAATTTGTGATCAGTAAATTGTTTTTTTTTGTAAAGTCTTTGATATATAGCATATTCCGATCATCATGCAAAGTTTCACTCGCGGATTTTGAGATGTACATATATTTTGCCGCCGGCGGCATCCGAGTGGAAAGGGTTAAAAAGTTTTTTTGGGCCACTGCAGCAATGACACATTAGATTAGCTATAATGATCTATACCCAGAGACATTACACTACATGGACTGCTAATTCTCATATGTTTTCCGTTGTATATGGTGCTCAAAGATAAAAGAGATTTTTAATCAATCGTGAGAGTCCGCGATAGTCGTCGGCAATGTTCGCTCAGCAAGTGACGTCAGAGTTTGTTTTATGATTGAGCACTTATTTTGCGCTTAGAAGTTACTATTGTTTTTTTTTAATCAAAATTTTGTTTTTGAGTGCTAATTTATATCAATGCGAGCCAATAGTCACCTAACTCTGCATCTGATAGTTTTGATGTATGTTGTGATGTGACGTTTCCTTGTTAGTCTGGAGTCTAGTTGCATACCTAGGTATTTAACATAATTAGTACATGGTATTTACTAGTGATGTGCCAAGTCGAATCAAGTGATTCGAATCATTCGAATCAAGCCTTTAACGACTTGATTCGAATCGGATTTTACATGATTCGAATCAACTCGCATCAAGCCGCAAAATATTTACTGTGATAAAATATGTATTAACACAAATTTTTTATAAATATAAAATTTTTCATAAATATAAATATAAAAAAATGTTTTGATTTAATTCAATATTATAATAATATAAAAAATAAATATCATAAATATAAAAAATAAATAATGAATTAAATCATGCGAGCCACCCGACTTTAATATACTTAAATGTATCAGCCAACTCCAATCGTCTTTGTGTGACTTTAACCGCATTCATCGACTAACTATATCATCCGACTTCATATGACTCAAACCGAATCAAGCGGCGATATGAGTTATTCCGACTTCATGACTCAAACCGAATTAAGCGGCGATATGAGTTGTTCCGACTTCATATGAGCCAACTCGAATCAAGCGGCGATATGAGTTGTTCCGACTTCATGAGCCAAACCGAATCAAGCGGCGTTACGAGTTATTCCGACTTCAATTCTGATTCGAATCATCCCGACTTCAAGCCGTTCGAGCGATATGAGTTAACCGTATGGGCGATACAATGCGTCGTCGTTCTTGCATGTTTATTTATTTTACGGAGAGCTGAGAGCGATTTTGTTCGTGAAATATCAATACCCAATTTTGATAATAATTGTTTTAGATTTTAAATGTTATCAGAATAAACCACTCGAAATTATGAAACGAGTTTCGGGAATCTTTCAATATAATTCTCTTTTGAAACAATTACTAAACACCAGAAAGTCAGTAAATAATATGTTAACTTCTGATTATGTAAGTAATGGCAAATTCACATTAATAAAATTAACTTTCAGCCCTCAGTTTAGATGCGATCCTTTACTGATTACATAGTAAAATAAACAATCGACCCATGATTCGAAATATTATTTTATATGCTTTAGTGATGCACAATTGTTTGGTAATCTATTATTGTAAATTAATTTGAAGATATGTTTTAGCCGTCCTCAAAATTACATCATTTTTAATAATTTTCAGAATATACTTTTTGATAGTGATTTATGTTTACAATTTCTACTTTGTCGGTTATATTGGTTAAACTGACAATTTTGATTATAAATTTGGATCACTTTTACTAAATTAATACATCCATGATTTTTTTTTGTCCTTATATATACTTGATTCGAGTTGATTCGAATCATGATTCGAATCAGGTTTTTTTCTGATTCGAATCATTCGAATCGGGAATTTTTCGAGTCGGCACATCACTAGTATTTACTTGGTATTACCTGGTCAAAAAGTGCAAACCATAAACGTTATATGATTGGACTTACTCTTGTTGATTATTATCTGCCATTTATAGATCGGTTTATTTTGAAATAGTGTAATTTTATAATCTTTTATGGAAATTGGTAGATTTAGAGATTTTTTTTTATTTTTTGAGGAAACAAATTTTAGAGAAAAGTGACAGTCATACTATCGAACAATTAAATGCAGATTAATTTATTAACAATGGTAACACTACATAGTAACAATACATAAAGTTGAGTAATAAGCCAATATGATAACAAGTTCAAATTAATAAAAACAATGTACTAAAATATAATAATAAAGGGTAGTACGACCTAAATAAAGCAGGTCCGTGAGCTGAGTTAATAAACTCCAAATCGATTCAGGGAAAGGAAGTATTGTGAAAGTTTTTCCCATTTCCATTTCACACCGCAGTGCGCTAATTTTCAATGGGAAACATATTTTGATCTATCTTTTAATGTAAAAATGGATATCTCCCTAATATAATATTATACTAAAATATAATATTGTTTATATGAAAAATGTACATAAATATATATTTATTAAAATATCAATTTCCTCTTTTCCAGCTGGTGATCCTGGGAAATTGTCTGGTGATAGCAGCCGTGTTCTGCTCCAGCAAACTGCGCAGTGTGACCAACTTGTTCATAGTGTCACTTGCAGTCGCCGATTTGATGGTCGGCATCGCGGTTTTGCCTTTTAGCGCAACTTGGGAAGTCTTCAAGGTAAGAAATTTCTATATACTTACACATACTTATATATATATATATATATATATATGTATATATATATATATATATATATATATATATATATATATATATATATATATATATATATATATATATATATATATATATAATGAAGTATATTGATTTAGAGCTTCATACCTATAGCTCTGGATGCGCTTCATAATCATCACACACTGACAAATTTAACATAAGAACTAAAATATGCCAATAGTGTAAAAACTGCATTATAATTTAGAGTTTTTCAGTTGACTTACGATTATTATAAAAATTCAGAAAAAAATTAATATCATTTGAATTAACTTTGTAAATAAGACATTAAAGTCTTGATTAACAAAAATAAATCGTAACAAAAAAAAAAAAAAAATTTGAATTAACCATTAATATTTTACTTTCTGACTATCGATTGATAATTTAAATTTCTCATTATGCATATTCGTCGCATACGCATCGTTTAATTAAACCTCAACTTTACCGCCGAATTATTAAAGCAATATTGAATAGCTAAATGTTGAATAAAACACTGCTTGAACTTCTATTTCCATTTTGCCTCCTATTGTACATTCCTAGAAATTGTCTAGACAATTCTATGACGACACTCAAAATCGCAGCACTTCTCTGGCGTTTTAGTATTTGTCTAGCGACAAATCAAACCGACTCGATGTCATTTCACAGAATATGTTAGCAAGTGCGGGGGAGTATAGCTTCTGATATTTTGCTCAATATTTTCATAACATTTTAGATAAACTTGCTTCACGTTTCTCTATTTATTGAATGTTCTGATTTGTGTTTTTTTTTAATGATTCTACTACACAAACAATAGCATTCCACCCAAACTTGTAGATTGTAAGGATCAAACAGCATATAAAGTTTTAAAGCCAATAATAATATCAAAAAAATCTTATGAAGTAGTGCAAAATAAAAAAATATAGTTTCGAATTCAGTATAATATAGTAACTTCTGAATATACAACATATCATTTTTATATAATGATATACACATGCTTAAGAATAAATACATCTAACTGATAATATGGAATATTTGTTTTTTCCTATTATATGAATATATATAATAGGATAATACTTGTATGTTTTTCAGTTATTATTCTATTCCATTTTTTAATATTTGATTTTTCATTATTTTATTTAGATACTTTAATTACGTTCTAGTCCAGTTATCTCATGAAATTGCATAGACATATAAGTTTATGCTTTATTCATTTTACAATTTTTTTCAATTGTATTTTTAATATCAATCAGAATACAGGACAATTCTATCAGCTTATGTCTTTCTCTCGCACACAAACACACACTTTCAAACACACATATAAGTTAATCTCATTAATATTATATTGATAGTTAGAGAATCGTTCAAGTGATTCTACTATTCTGATTATATAAAGTTCTGGTAGTTCTAAAGGTCATCCATATTATCTTTGGGCAGCTTCTTCTTCAGTCTTCTTGAAATTGGTTTAAATAGTTGAAATCATGCCATTTGATATAGAGTAGAGCGAGGTTTAAAGGTTTGTGGGCAAGTAGGTCCACCGCCGCTATCTTGAAAACATGTACAGTGAAGATTTTTTTTCAACAATATTTGAAAGTAGAGGGAAAAAGATGTATAACCAGCCATAACCTTGATTCTTACAAAGTCGCTATCGAGAGATTAACGGCAATGTTTAAATCCATAACAAAAGTCTTTTATTTTGTTGATAGTTTTTTTGGTTTTGAGCATTTTTGCTTAGTTCACGAGACCTTAATATTGTTTTTAAGTAAACTTTATCTAATTGTTTTATAAGATATATTGTATTTTAAGTTAGATTAAACAGTTTTTATATAACTATTATAGAAGCTTACATGAGAGGGTGAGTTATAAAATAGAATAACTGAACTTTACCCTACAAAAGGTGCAAAACAATAAAAAATAGTGAATATAAATGTAAATTAAGTTGCAAAAGGCAATTTTACAAAATATAAATGAAATAAATAGTTACCAACTTTGATGACAAGTATTTTTGACAAAATATCAGATCAAGGTTACAGACATAGTGTATCTGTAAAAAAATTTTGCATTAGTTAAATAATGTTGCTATTACTTCGTAAAATTCTTTCAAAATTAAAAATAAGATCGGCCTGTTTGCACCCTGGCTGTCTCATTTCACCCCGCCTAGGTAAGAAGAACCAGATGACAAAATTAAAAAAAAACACAATACTGGAATGATGAATAAGCTAGAAATTTTACAGAACATATTTAAATAGTTACTTGTTTAATATTTATGGTTTGGATGTAGTTGGTTTGGTTTTCATAATATAAATACTCAAAATCAAATTAGACCTTTGTACCCCGCTTTACCTTCGTTATATGTGCTGCCAAGATGTTCAGATTTTTTTTTATTTAATTTATTCTGCAATCTGTTTTACACATTCATTAACATTAAGCAGAGATTGCTAACAATAATTATCATATAATATAAACAAGAAGATAGTTGCAACACCCAGCGGCGTGTCTACTACGTATATAAGATGTTCAGAATGCTTAAATATTATTTCTAATTAGTTAAGTATTTTCCAATAGATATTTCATGAATTTGTTAACAATAATAAATCAATATTTTTTGAGCTTACGCATTATTTCCTCTTGTGGAAATGTATATATCCACAATATATCAAAGAATTTAAGCAATTGTTACCGAAGATTTTATATAAAAACGCTATTAATATGGATACACCATAGATAAATTACCCAAAAATATCAACTAATAATAATAATAATAATAATAATAATATATTACTTATTTTATTCACTTATTATATATTTATTATAAATATAATATACTTATTTATTTATAACAAATTACCTATATTTAATAAACATTAGTTATTTTTTATTCAAAAGTAACTTCCGAATATAAACCTATTACTTATTTTTATCAAATTCGAGGGTTTTTTTGGATATGAGTTGAGTCAACTGTGACATTTCCAGAAAAAACATAGGGTTTGCAGCATTGCTGCCTAGTAACTTTTTTAATTCCTGTCCATGCTCGATTTTCCGCCTAGTCGCTTTTCGTTCAAATTGTGGAAAACGTGGAAAACTCAGGCACATAATTGGAAAGAGACGAATTTATGACGGAAGCGACCGAGAGAAGAGGTCGCATTGTGAGAGCGACCTCACCTCAAAACAAACTTCCTCTTTGCAGCCCCTCATTCTCGGTCACAGTTTCTGGATGAAATTTAATAGACGCTCAAATTTCCCGTGGGGCGTTCTACGTACTCTGCCTTCGCATCAAATGTTACCCAGGACAGAATCTGTTCTTTATAAAATAATCACGTTTCTATTTTTTCTTATCTTGCAATAAAATTGATTTTGCGTGCAATCTTTCGGGATGGAACATAGGGCGCGTGCAGGAATTTTTTACATTGATAATGCGAAGAATACTTTCTACAAATTGTGCTTTGGCAAATTGCTGAAACTTCCCGTACCGTAATGAAATACTCGAGGAATATTAAGTGCTTTCCAATAGATTATTATAAATAATGTAACTTTCATTATTCGTGCTTTATAGACAAATTTAAGAGCTTATAAGACAAATTGGACGACGACATTTATATAGGTATGTTTATACGAAAAGTAAATAAACAAATCCTAATAAAGCTGGAATGAAGGAATGTCTCATATTTCATTGATTCAAGAATCATGCAAATCGAATAGTCTGTGCTCTCAAAATACATCATTTCTATTTTCTGCATTCTTAGTCGCGTATCTCCGGTACAGCTAGGCCTGTATTTTCCAAAAACTAATTAGCACGTCTCGATCAGTAAAAATTTAAGAATAATTCAAATCGGTTGATCCGTGCACCTAAAGCGTGGACAAAAAATTAACATAAGCACATACACACATACACACACACCTTTATTTTGTCTAAGATTCATAAACCTTCGAACAATTACAATAACTCGCTCTACGGACGTCAAAAATACTAATTTCAATAATTTTTATTAAACATATTAAACAATTTTTCATGGAATCAGAAAAGTTATAGTTGGGACAGCGAGGGGGCTTGTCGAAAAAGTTGTAAACTTATGAAAAACTTTTATTTTAATTAATCTATCTTGAAATTTTCTACGAAATAAAGATATAAAGTTGCTGTAATTATTGCTCTATCGAATCAAGTTATAAGAATTCCATAACTGTTGTTCATTATTTCACGACTAATCGATTTTTAGAAAAAAATCGGTGGGACAACTTACCCCGTGTTATTATTTACTCAATTTTTAATATTAACTTGTTTCTAAGTAATTCTTTCAATCAATGCAAGCTTAAATTAAATATTATTATAACTGTAACATAGAAAATATACAAAGTTTGTAATAGAGACAATGTTCAATATCCAATAGATACAATTTTAATTTTGTAAATATTTTTAAGATTTTTTTGGAAAACGTCTGTTACTATAGTCTATTTTCAACAGTGGTAACTATAGTAACAGACCTTTTCCAAAAGAATCTTCAGAAATATTTTTTTTTTTTAAATCCTAGCTACCCTATATAATTAAGTATAAAAATGATAAATTGTCCACTAAGTTATAGTTCTTTTCACCAGATTACTTAATCAATCAATGCCTGATAATCTCTCATAATAATAAACTACATGTTTTGTATTAGAATTGCTATATTTGATTCCAGTTTTTGGAATAAACTTATATAATATAATTAGATAATTTTAAATTTATTAATTATTTTTCCTTATTTTTAAGAGTTTTACAAACTCATTATATTAATACAGAAAAATGTAAAATGTCACGAAGACTTTCATGTAGTTTATTTGATGTGTCACGTACAACTTTGAAATTGTCCAATAGATACAATTTTAATTTTGTAAATATTTTTAAGATTTTTTGGAAAACGTCTATTACTATAGTCTATTTTCAACAGTGGTAACTATAGTAACAGACCTTTTCCAAAAGAATCTTCAGAAATATT